AGGGGATAGCTCAGTGGGGTTTGAGCATTGGCCTGCTAAACCCAGGGTTGAGAGTTCAATCCTTTAGGGGGCCATTTAGGGATCTGGGGCAAAAATCTGTCTGGGGATTGGTCCTGCTTTAAGCAGGGGGTTGGACTAGATGACCTCCTGAGGTCCCTTCCAACCCTGATATTCTATGATTTATCGCATCTAGTCCAGATGCGATAAATCGACTCCTGAGCGCTCTCCCGTCGACTCCAGTGCCATGAGAGGCGGAGTCGAGGGGAGCAGCAGCAGTTGACTCACCACAGTGAAGACACTGCGGTGAGTTAATCTAAGTACATCGACTTCAGCTACGTTATTCACATAGCTGAAGTTGCGTAACTTAGATCGATTCCCCCCCTTCCCCCCCCCCCCCAGCGTAGACCAGGCCTATGATAGAAAGCAGCGGACGGCACACCACAGCGGGGGAGCCTATTATGGGACATCCTAAGGTTTTTCACTGGAAACGTGGCCTCTTACTCCAGGACAGAAAAGGCAGTAACTGGGAATGTGCCTTTAATAGTATCAACCTGGCTCGCCAGACTGCATGTTGAGTGCATCCTTCCAAGACTGGTAAGATAAACAAATGACACTATTACAACATTGACAGGTTGGAAGTAAACACTGATTAACTTTGCCCCCAGTGCAGTGCAACGTAAGCAGCAACCAAATATACAGATGAATGCAAATTATAAACATCTGACTTGTGAATATTAGCTTGTGGCACCATTGTCCATCCCAGTGTTCAGGCCTGTGTGGAGTCATGCCAGCCCTGGAGGAATTGTGGGGAGAATTCTGCCACAGGAAGAGAGAACTGCTCTCAGAGTTCCCCCGGCATGTTGTGTTAGTATTAAGACAGTCTCAGAATTTCTAAATATTATAGGCAACAACTTCCTAACTCAAAGAGTGTTACATCCGACATGGGCGGAATTCTGTGTTAGACCTCATCTTGACAGATAAAGAGGAACTGATGACGGAACTAAAAATTAATGGTAACTTAGGTGCAAGTGATCATGGCTTGATCACGTTTATAATGTGCATATAGTGTAAAGTCCAGACCAATGATGTAAATACTTGGTGCCTTAAAAGGGCCAGTTTCACAAAACTGAAAGCAATTATGAGCCAAATCAGCTGGGAGGAAGAATTTAATCAGAAAAATGTCACTATTAATTGAGAATGATTTAAGAACACCTTACTAGATGCCCCAAAAGCCACAATCGAGGATGAAAGCTGCACTGGTTAAGAAAACAACCTGATTTAGAAGGGAAGTGAAGGAATCTATGAAAAATAAAAAATAGATATATATAGATATAGATAAATAAATCTATCTCAAACGGAAGAAAGGGAGAAGTTAATAGTAATGAATATAAATCAGAAGCTTGGAATTGTAAAAACTTGATCAGGGAAGCAAAAGGACACAAGGAGAAATCTATGACCAGCAGAGATAAGGACAATAAGGAATTTTTAAAGTATATTAGGGAAAAAACCATTTTAACAATTCTACCATGGACCAATACCATTATCAATAATGCAGAAAAGGCAGAAGTAAATATTTCTGTTCTATATTTGGGAAAAAAGATTACGTAGTCATGTCATACAACACACTTTCCATTCCACTAGCATCTCGGGAAGGTGTTAAACAGCAGGTACTAAAATTAGACGTTAAATCAGCAAGTCCGGATAACTTGCATAAAAGAGTTTAAAAAGAGCTGGCTGAGGAACTTGCTGGACTGTTAATGTTGACTTTCAGTAAGTCTTAGACACTGTGGAAGTTTCAGGCGATAGGAAGAAAGCTAATATTTTGCCAGTATTTAAAAAGGGTAAATGGGATGACGTAGATACAGTAACTCCTCGCTTAACGTTGTAGTTACGTTCCTGAAAAATGTGACTTTAAGCGAAACGATGTTAAGCAAATCCAATTTCCCCATAAGAATTAATGTAAATGGGGGGGTTAGGTTCCAGGGAAATTTTTTTCACCAGACAAAAAAGACAGTTATCTTTTCCATAACGGGTGTTCTTCAAGATGTGCTGCTCATGTCCATTCCACAATAAATGTGCGTGCTTGCCACGTGCGCCAGTGCCGGAAGTTTTTCCCCTAGCAGTACCCGTAGGGGAGCACCCCAGCGACCCCTGGAGTGGCACATCCATGGTGCGGTATAAAGGGCGCTGCACACTCCCCCCACCCTCAGTTCTTTCTTGCCAGACAACTCTGACAGAGGGGAAGGAGAGTGGGATGTGGAATAGACATGAGCAACACATCTCGAAGAACACCAGTTATGGAAAAGGTCACTGTCTTTTCTTCTTCGAGTGATTGCTCATGTGTATTCCACAGTAGGTGATTCCAAGCTATATCTGTTGGAGGTGGGAAGGAGTTCACAAACTGTCGGGACGGAGCACAGCCCTGCCAAACCCGGCGTCCTCCCTGGTCTGGGAGACGATCGCATAGTGCGAGGTGAACGTGTGAACTGAAGACCACGTGGCAGCCCTACAAATGTCCTGAATGGGGACATGGGCCAAAAAGGCAGCCGACGAGGCCTGCACCCTAATTGAGTGTGCCCTCACAATTGACGACGGGGGGATTCCCGCCAGGTCATTGCAGGTACGGATGCACAAGGTGATCCAGTTGGAGAGCCGCTGAGTGGAGATCGGCCAACCTTTCATGTGCTCAGCCAAGGCCATGAACAGCTGCGAAGACTTCCTGAATGGCTTAGTCCGCTCCAGGTAAAAGGCCAGAGCCCGTCTCACATCCAGCATGTGGAGGCGGCGCTCCTCACTGGACGAATGGGGCTTGGGGCAGAGGACCGGCAGGAAAATGTCCTGACCCACGTGGTAGGCAGAGACCACCTTCAGGAGGAACGAGGGGTGTGGGCACAGTTGGACCTTATCCTTATGGAACACTGTGTATAGGGGCTCGGAGGTCAGGGCCCTGAGTTCCAAGACCTGCCTAGCCGATGTGTTCGCCACCAGGAAGGCCATCTTCCACGAGAGGTGCGACCAGGAGCATGTAGCCAGCAGCTCAAACGGGGATTCCACAAGGCGGGCCAGCACCAGGTTCAGGTCCCACTGGGGGTCGAACGTATGGGAAGAGACGATGCAATCCCTTAAGGAATCAGCAGTCATAGCATGGGAGAATACCGTGTGGCCCTGCACCGGTGGGTGGAAGGCCGATATGGCCACCCAGTGCACCTTGACAGATGAGGGCGCCAGGCCCTGGGCCCTAAGGTGAAGAAGGTAGTCCAAAATTAGCTGGATTGGGGCAGCCACGGGGGAAACGCCCTGCTCATCTGCCCATCGGGAAAACCAAGACCACTTTGCCAAGTAGGCTCGGTGCGTGGAGGGCCGCCTACTTTCCAAGAGGACATGCTGAACCCCTTCTGAGCACGTTCTTTCCTCCCGGCCTAACCATTGAGCAGCCACGCCATGAGGTGGAATGCCGTTAGGTTGGGGTGGAGGTGGTGGCCCTGGTCCTGGAAGAGCAGGTCTGGGCGGGATGAGTTTATGGAAAATAGATCCTGTCAAACTAATTTGCTATAATTTTTTTTTATGAGATTACAAGTTTGGTTGATGTAATATACGTAGATTTCTGTAGGGCATTTGACTTGGTACCACATGACATTTTGAATAAAAAACTAGAATAATATTCACACGGCACACCTTAAATGAATTAAAAGCTGGCTAAGTGACAGATCTCAAAATGTAACTGTAAACGGGAAATCAAACAGGAGTGTTTCTAATGGGGTTCCACAGGGATCGGTTCTTTGCCCTATATTATTGAATATTTTTATTAATGACCTAGAAAAAGGCATAAAATCATCACTGAAAGTTTGCAGATGATGCAAAAATTGGGAGAGCAGTAATAGTGAAGAGGATAGGTCACTGATTCAGAACAATCTGGATCACTTGGTAAATTAGAAGCAAGCAAATAATATCCATTTTAATAAGGCTAAATGTATATGTAACCCGCACACCTCCTGGGTGTGGTGCTCTGTCCCAGCTAGTGGCACCGAGACCACTTAGAGAGAGATTAATGAGTTTGCTCTACAGCCTTAGCTAAGAGCCATGTGGCTTTTAGCTCATGAAGTAGAGGCTCATGCACTAAGCTCCAGAGGCCCCAGGTTCGAACCCGCCCGCCGACTACCAGGGTCTGTCGGTGTTACATATACACCTAGGAACAAAGAATGTAGGCCACACTTACACGATGGGGGACTTTGTCCTGGGAAGCAGTAACTCTGAAAAATATTTGGGGGCCCACAGTAAATAATCAGCTGAACATGAGCTTGGAGAAGACCAAGTTAAGATCCCACTGTGGGGCAGGGGTCCGTACCTGCGGGAAGAGTCTCTCGAGGCCTCTCAAGAATCCGCCCATCATGTCATGAGAAGACACCGTCTGGCCCTGGATCGGTGGGTGAAAAGCGGAGATGGCCGCGAGATGCACTCTAATGGAAGAGTGTGCCAGGCCCTGGTTCCTAAGATGAAGCAAGTAGTCTAGAATAGACTGTATGGAAGAGCGCAAGGGAGAGATGGCACGCTTGGATGCCCAGTAGGAAAACCTCATCCACTTGGCCAGTAAGTCAGTTTGGTTGAGGGCTTCCTGCTTCCCAGGGGGAACCTGTTGGATCTCATCCGAGCAGGTCCACTCCTTCAGGTTCAGCCACACAACATCCACACCGAGAGGTGGAGGGACATGAGGTTGGGGTGCAGAAGCTGACCGTAGTCCTGTGACAGCAGGTCCAGTCAGTTGGGCAGGGGCCAGGGAGGGGCCGCTGCCAGGTTCATGAGCATGCTGAACCAGTGCTAGCGAGGCCACGCTGGGGCAATCATGACAACCTGTGCCTTGTGTCTCTTGATCTTCGCTAGGACCTTGCGGATGAGAGAAATCAGAGGGAACCCGTACATCAGGTTCCCTGACAACGACAGGAGGAAGGCATTGGAGAGGAAGTCCTTGCAGTGAACAAAACCAGCGGCATTTCGTGTTTTGCCTGGTGGTAAACAGGTCCACTTAGGGAATTTCCCCAATTCTGGAAGATCATGCCAGCTACCTCCGGGTGGCGCGACTGCTCGTGGTGAGAGGAGAAGTCCCTGCTGAGGTCATCTGCTAGTGTGTTCTTGACGCCAAGGAGGTGACAAGCTTCCAGATGGACTTCATGGCTGATGCAGAAGTCCCAGAGATGGCGTGTCTCTTGGCAAAGAGTCGACGAACATGCTCTCCCTTGCCTGTTGATGTAGAACATCGAGGCTGTGTTGTGTGTCAGAACTCTCACCACCTTGCCCAACAGGTGAGGTAGGAAGACTCCGCATGCCAAGCGGACCGCCTTGAGTTCTTTGATGTTTATGTGTAATGTCATCTCCCAGCCACAGTCCGAGGCCTCCGATACCAACTCGATGGAGTGCTGGGTGTGTGTGTTGAATGGAACCCCCTCTAGGACCATCGTGCCATTGGTCCACCATTGCAGTGAGGCAAGTACCGTTGGCGGAATGGTAACGGCCTTGTGCACGTGATCTCTGGACTGGGAATAGACCGTCACCAGCCATTGCTGCAGGGGCGCATCCGGAACCTGGCATGGCGGACAATGTATGTGGATGCTGCCATGTGACCCAGCAGGCACAGACAAACCCTGGCTGTAGTCGGGGGAATGCGGAGACCTCCACGTCAAAGTCTGGAACCTTTCTAGTGGCCAGAACGCTCTGGCACAGATCAAGTCGAGCACTACGCCAATTAATCTATCCTTTGCCTTGGAATAAACGTAGACTTTTTGTCATTCACCAGTAGGCCCAGGGAGTGGGACATGGCTTGCAGCACTGCGACACTGAGACCTGGAGTTGCCCTTGGCTAGCCAGTTGTCAAGGAATGGGTAGATCTGGATACCCTGATGTCTGAGGTAAGCAGCCACCTCCGACATGCACTGGGTAAACACTCTGGATGCTGTTGCCAGGCCGAATGGGAGGACCACAAACTGGTGATTGGGGGAGGGGGGGGGAGCCCACTGTAAACCGGAGGAAGCGTCTGTGACCTTGAAAGATAGCTATGTGGAAGTATGCGTCCTTCAAATCAAGGGCGGCATACCAGTCTCCCAGATCCAGGGAGGGGATGATAGAAGCCAGGGAGACCATACGGAACTTTAGCTTCTTTAGATACTTGTTGAGGTCTCACCAGGTCCAGGATGGGCCACAGACCACCCCTTGGCCTTTGGGATTAAGTAGTACCGGGAATAGAACCCCTTGTTCCTGTACTCAAGAGGAACTTCTTCCACCGCACCCAATTGCAGCAACCCCTTTACCTCCTGCGCAAGGAGATTCCCCTGAGAAGGGTCCCTGAAGAGGGATGGGAGTAAACTGTAGGGTATAATCCTCCGCCACAGTATTGAGGACCCAGCGGTGTGAAGTTATAGCTGTCCATGCGGAGAGGAAAAAAGAAAGGCAGTTGGAGAACAGCAGGACAGACGGATCCAGGGTATAGTCTGGTAGGTCACCCTCGAGCGCACCCTCAAAATGTTTGCTTGCCCCCCCTGCTTATTGCGGGTCGAGTCTGACTGGACAGAGGGAGGAGGTGGGTGGCTTGGGCGGTGCTTGTAGCCCTACTCTTCTTATGGGGGGAGGCTCCTGGTGGGGTTGACTCCTTTGGCCCTGAGATTGTTGCGGTTTGAACCGCTTATGGGATGGACTGGGAAAGAACAGCCCCAGAATTTTCAGAGTAGTGCGGGAGTCCTTAAGGCACTTTACCATCCATCTGCTCTGCAACCAGGGCCTGACCATCGAAGGGGAGGTCCTGCATCAATTGCTGGGCCTCCGTTGACAGACCCGAGAGAAGACAGGACGCCCTTTGCATGGAGATGGCCGAGGCCATGGATCGAGCCATGGAGTCTGCTGCATCCCAGGCTGCTTGGAGGGCCTCTCCTGCTGCAGCCATGCCCTCTCCTAGGATTGCCCGGTATTCCCTTCCTGGACCCTTCAGGCAGTGAAACCTCAAATTTGGCCATAGACTGCCACATGTTGTAGTCATAGCGGCCAAGGAGGGCTTGGTGTTGGCCACTCTCAACCGAAGGCTGGAAGACGAATACATTTTTCGCCCAAACAGATTCACTCTCTTCGAGTCTTTATTCTTGGGTGTAGCCCCGGGTTGACCCTGCCTCTCCCTCTGGTTAACGGCCTCAACTACGAGGGAGTTTGGGGCCGGGTGAGTATAGAGATACTCATGGCCTTTAACTGGCACAAAATATTTGCACTCAGCCCTTTTTGAGATGTGTGGCAGGGAGGAGAATGTTTGACATAGGGCATTAATAATTTTTGATACCCCCTCGTGTAGGGGTAAAGCCACTCTAGCAGGTGCCGTGGAGCAAAGGACATCGAACAGTGAGTCCGATGGCTCTTCGAGTTCCTCTGCCTGGAGCCCCAGGTTAGAGGAGACCCTCTTCAAAAGCTCCTGATGAGCCTTGGCATCGTCTTGCAGAAGTGGGTGAGCGGTTCCTGTAATCACTTCGTCTGGTGATGATGAGGACGAAACCAGCGCTGAGGGATCCACCACATCCCCTGGTGGTCCAACTGGCTGCTCCCCATGGTCCTGGGGGGTCTTTGCCTGTGGGGCCTCCACCTCCGGAGGAGGGTGGGATGCTATGGCTGACTGCCTATCTGAGGCTCCCGCCACTGATCAGGCGGCCTGGGAAGGCTGGGTGAACCCCCCTGGATTCCAGGGGTACTATGCTGCCGGCCATTGGCCTGGAGACCACGGGGTCTGTTGCAGTGCTGATGAGGTTGACAGAACCACTGGTGCCGGGGGCCTGTCCTGCTACCAGGGACTCCTGATCAGCACCGGAGTTGTAAGCAGAGCAGACACTGTGGATTGACCATGACTGGCTGGCCCAGCAGCCTCCTCCCCACGGTGCTGGCTGCTGTGCCTCGACGCCGACCTGTCCGATCGGGACGCGTTCCTCCCGTGGAACCCCGGGGATCTTTGGTGTTCGGACGATCTGTGTCAGTAGACCAGCAATCTATGCCTCACGCTGCTTGACCTGTATCTAGAGAGGGACCGGGAGTCAGAGCGGGCCGATCGTCGGTAGAATCTCCCCGATTGAGGGAATTCATGTCTCGGCGACTGACACTGGCAGGTGGGTGACCGGTGACCCTGTTCCGCCAGTCGGTCACAGGATCGGTGCAGAGACGTTGGCGACCCAATGGGTCGGTCTCGACACTCATGCCAGGGGGCACGTGCCTCCACAGGTCTGCACCAGGTTACCGGCGAGCCGCGCCTTGAATCCTGCTGTCAGTGCCCAGGGACCGAAGAGCTTTCTCTGAGCCTGCCTCCCAAAGTCCGAGGCACGATGGCTCTGTGCAGGCGAACGCTGGCGGGATGTCCTCTGTGATGGGGAGCAGCACTGATGAGGTGGGGACACTTGGAACGGTCCAAGGTGGGTTTACCCCTGGGCTTGGGTACTGCCGGAGCAGGTGTGGGCAGCACCGATAGCATCAGGATCTCCTGCACTGCCTGCAGGGCCTCAGGCGTCAACGGGACTTCACATTGATGGAGGCCCTCGTCACTGTCCGGTGTGGCAAGCATAGTATGGGAGGGGCTCAACATGAGCTGGGGCCTGACTCCCTGACAGAGGTGTTGAACTGCCCAGCATGTGTCTTGGCTCTCCTCCGGCCCTCTGCTTTCCCTTATGGGAAGTAGGAGATCTTCCCCTCACGGACCTCTTGGGCTTCTTGGCCGAGGAGGGGGATCGGTGCCGGCTCGTAGACGGCACCGGCGGGGCGCTCCGTACTGACGCTGCGGTGCTCAGGGCCAAGTCGGACCTCTGCTCCAGTGCCGGGGTCAGCGCCAACTCCATCAGGAGTGCCTTGGGACGGATGTCTCTCCCCTTTTTCCTTCTGGGTTTGAACGACTTACAGATGCGACACTTTTCGCTTATGTGTCTCTCTCCTAGACATCTTAAACAGCTAATGTGCGGGTCGCTGATGGGCATGGGCCGCTTACAACGATCGCATGGTTTCAAGCTTGGGGACCGGGGCATACCCCGTCCCTAGGCTGAGTCCCGTCCAGGACCAACTAACTAGAACTAACACAAAGGGTAAATACTAACTATATACACAACTGTTTTACATGGAACATTCACGAGACACTGAACTAAGCGAAAACTAGCCAAAGCAGCAGAAGTTCCAGCACTGTCACCGATGGCAAAAAGGAACTGAGGGTGGGGGGAGCTAGTGACGCCCCTTATACCGCGCAATGCAGGCGCCACTCCAGAGGACGCCAGAGCTGCTCCTCTATGGATACTGCCAATGGAAAAACTTCCGGCACCAGTGCATGTGGCGAGCGCACACCCCTAATATGGAATGGACATGAGCAACCACTCGAAGAACTTGTTTTCTAGTGACAGACAATCTAGCTTAACCAAGAGAAGGTTAAGGGGTGACTTGATTATAGTTTATAAGTATCTACATGGTGGACAAATATTTGATCATGGGCTCTTCAGACAAAGGCATAACACAATCCAATGGCAGGAAGTTGAAGCTAGACAAATTCAGACTGGAGATAAGGCGTACATTTTTAATAGGGTAATTAACCGCTGGAACAATTTACCAAGGGCCATGGCGGATTCTCCATCACTAGCAATTTTTAAATCAAGACTGGAAGTTTTTCTAAAAGGATCTGCTCTAGGAATTATATCAGGGCAGTTCTCTGGCCTGTGTTACACAGGAGATTGGACTAGATGAACATGGTGATCCCTTCTGGCCTTGGAATCTGTGAATCCACAAGGCCACAGTCTGGCATGGCTGCGGAGTGGGTGCCTAGGCAGTTCACATTCTTACATGCTGTCTAGAACCCATTCTCTAAGTTGTTAGCATCTGCTGGAGGAACCTGCACCCCAAGTGAAGGCATATACGTGATAGCAGCTGGGAAGTTTAGATTTGACTGTCCAGAGGCTTTGGAAACTAGAAGGATTGGGAGGTGGAAAGGCCAATTTGCAATCAAACGATGAAGGCAGCGTATATTCGCTGTGTTCTAGCCAGGGTTATTTTGGACTTGGTATACTTGCAACTATACATACAATATGATGGGGGCTTTAGGTTTTCTTTAGCAAGGGCTAAAGAGTGTTGGAGGGTGCTTTGTAGGTTGCTTACAAAGTCTAGAATGTTAGTTCCTGGAGAAGGCGTAAACCCCTCCCATTGCTGCTTCACCAACTGTAATGGCCCCTTAACCTCACGGCCATACACAAGTTCAAATGGTGAAAACCCTAAACTGGGATGTGGTACAGCCCTGTAGGCAAAAAGCAACTGCTGCAACACTAGGTCCCAATCATTGGAGTGTTCATTTATGAATTTACGTATCATGGCCCCCAAAGTTCCATTAAACCTCTCCACCAGACCATTGGTTTGATGGTGATGAGGGGTGGCAACCAAGTGATTCACCCCATGAGCTTCCCACAGGTTTTTC